GGGTAATATGGGAAATTGCTTCCAGGATGATTTACAGCCTCTAAACACTCACTGGGGACTCAGCTATGAGTTGGTTTTGACTCAACAGCAAATGTGTGTTTTTGAGTTTATAGTAAACAGAAAAACATGATTAATGTGTTCTGAGCTGTCATCCTCACCGTAACGTAACACTATGAGGCAGAAGCTAACATTATCCCTATTTGAAGTATAATGAACTATGACTTAGAGAGGCTAAAGCCCCGTCCAAGGTCCATGGCAATTTAGAAATCTTAAAGCCCTGTCCAAAGTCAAGGGCAGTGGAGCTGAGCCCCGCCCAGAGGTCTGTGAGAGCAAAGCCCTTAATCACCTTGAAAAGGTGACATGACGTTACCAGTACAGGGCTGACAGTAGAATCACTGGGAGTGGGATTTTACGCATTGTCTGGCACTTAGATCTGCTTGTGAGAGATCATCTTTCATTATTTATTTGCGACCTAGATATTAGCTATTACCACCTGCAGCCTCCACTCTGACCTTCCACCCAAGCTTGCTGTGGGGCTGGGTGTTTGTCTGCTTTCCCCAGGAAGCACTCCCAGCGTCAGGCAGTAGGGGGAGCTGTGAACATCACAGAAGACCAGGCTGCCTCCCAGCATCGCCCACGCTAAATCCCCACCTGCCCTGGAGCAGCCGCTCAGAGTTGATCACATAGAAAGCAGCTTCATTTTAAATCAAAGCAACACTTTGCATGATTTGCCTTGACTTTACAATTGGGGTCACTTTGTTGTTGTTGTTGTTGTTGTTACATACAATTGAATTGAGTACAACTCATAGCAATCCTGTGGACAAACGATCTGAACTCTGTCCTAGCCTGCACTCTCTTCATCACCTCTGACATTTTTGAGCCCATTGCTGCAGTCACTGTGTCTTCCTTTCTTGTGCAGAACCCCCACCTTTCGTCCTCGCCAGGGAATAGCCTCTCCTAGCAACATGTCCAAAGTATGAGAGATTTGCCATTCTTGCCTCCACGGGGCACTCTGGATGCACTTTCTCCAAGATAAATCTGTTTGTTCTTTTGGCAGCCCATGGAATACTCAATAATCTTCTCCAACACCGCAACTCAAATGTATCAAACCTTCCTCTGTCCTCATTGGAAAAATCACCTTGGGAGCCTTCATTTGCATCCTCTGTCCCCAGCATTTTAATGTTTCTGGCACATGTCTCTCATTCACATGGGTTGGACTCTGTTATTGTGTGAGATCTCTCCAAATTCCTAAGGAGAATTTTGTTATTGTTGCTATTAGGTGTCATCAAGTCAACTACAATTCATACTACCCCATGACCACCAGATCTGAGCCTCGCCCTATCCTAACAGTCTTCTCGAGGGTCTTCCTATCTTTGTCTGACCCTCTACCTTTCCCAGCAGGATGTCTGTTTCTGAGGACTGGCCCTTCCTGACAACATGCTCAAACTATGTGAGAGGAAGTTTCCCCACCCTCGCCTCTAAGTTGACTTACTCCAGGACAGACCCATTTGTTCTTTTCGCAGTCCACGGAATAGTCAGGACTCTTCCTCAACACCACAACTTAAAGGCGTCTATTCTTTGACCTTCCTTATTCATTTCCCAAGTTTCAGATGCATACAAAGCAACAGAAAATACCAAGGTTTAGACCAGGCACACCCTAGTCATATATACTATCTGTGACTTTGGACAACTCCAAACACACCCTCCACATATAGTCAAACTTTCCCAGCTATTTTCACATAATGCAACAACTGGAAATTAATTTTCTTTTCACAGGAAGGACTGCAGAGTTTATCTTGCTCTCTGCACTGTATTCCCCTCCACACGTCATCATTATCTCCTCAAAACAAGTCTTCTCTTAAACCCACAAACCTCCGCATCTCTCTGGGTGGACTCTGTCACTCATTCTCTCTCCACTTAGACTCTAAGTTTCCCTCTCACTCAAGTTCGTCACTTCACTTCCCATTTGAGATAAAGCAGTTTGGCTCTTCCAAGCACGGGCATCCTCAGCTATCAGCTCTCTATGTGCACAATAAAGTTAAAATTCTCTCCTTTCTTAAAATACAACTGAAAGCTAAAACCCACTGCCATCTAGCCAACTGCAATACAGCAACCTGCAGGATACACAGAACAGACTTGCAGGAAGGATAGCATGTTTGGAAAGTAGAGAGTCTGTGAAAGAAAGAAAGACCCTCTGTGAGATGGACGGACACCGAGCCTGCATTATGGGCTTCAGCACCGAGAGATTGTGAGGACAGCACAGGATCAGGCAGAGCTCTGTTCTATTGTACAGGAGCTCACTGAGTCAGAGACAACTTGACAGCAGCTAACAAGAAAACAAAATAGAATTACCCCCTAGAGTTTCCAAGGCTGTAAACCTCTATGGACATAGATGGCTTCATCTTTCTCCCTTGGAGCAAGTGGTGAGGTCACACTGTCGACCTTTAGTTGTTGTTGTTGTTGTTAGGTACTGTCCAATTGAGTATGACCCATAGTGACCCTAGGAGCAGCAGATGTGAATCCTGTGCTATCCTGCGCCATCCTCACTCTTCCTGACACACAAGAAACCATTGTGGTTGAGGGTCTTCCTCTCCTTCATCTATTCTCTGCCTTTCCGAGCATCATGCCCCTCTCTAAGGAACAGCCTCTCTAACTCTCCAAGGAATAGCCTCTCCTAGCAACATGTCTGAAGTATGTGAGGTGAAGCTTTATCATCTTTGTCTCCAAAGCAAAAGGGATTTTTCCCTCTGACACTGGGAGGAACCACCAGATGCTTTAAACTCAGTGCTATCAGGCTTCTCAAAAT